TCACAACACGGTCTTCTAATAGTTAGCTAGTCCTCCATCCGTGCTAATATACTGCACCCAAAATCATGGGCTCCTATCTTATTATGTGGCCTAATGTGCGGTACCTTATTGAATGCCTTTTGAAAATCCAAACTGGTTACCATTAATCCGTCCTAATTGTTACCTTATAAAAGAATGTTTGTCAAATTATCAGGCATGGCTTTCCCTTACTGAAGCCATGCTGCCTCTGCTTGATTATATTTTATATTTCTAAATGCTCCACTATAACATCTTTTAGAATAGGCTCCAACTTTTTCCCACTAATCGACATTAAACTAACAGGCCTGTAGTTCACTGTTTTTGTCTTTAATATCCTAGGATGCAACCCATCAGGTCCAGGGGACTTGTTGGCCTTTAGTAGTAATGCTGGTTATTCTATGTATCCTGCTATCCTGAGACATCCTCCCTCCAGTCCCTTGATTATTTATTACTTTTGGAAGTCTATTAGTGTCTTCTACCATGAAGACCGATGTTAAGTATTTATTCAACTGGTCTGCCATTTCCTGGCTCCTCATTATTATTTCCCTAGCCTCATTCTGTAAGGGGGCTATGTACACTTTGACCTTTATCCTACTTTGCATGTATTTCAAGATGTTTTTACCATCTTTGTCAAAGTTTATTTTCTCTCTCTTTGTTTTGGTCATCTTTGCTGGTTTTTAGAGCTTTCCCAATCCTTTGGCTCACCACTAACTTTTGCCACAGGGTACGTTTTATTTTCAATTTGATACTATCGCTAGCTTCCTTGGTTAACCATGATTGGTTTATCCCCTTCCTACAATCTATTGCCTTCCCTAGGATTATACCTTTGTTGTGAGTCATGACTGTTTCATTAAACACCTCCCCTTGTTTCTCAAACATCTTTTCAGCTTAAAACCCCCTCCCTAGTCCACAGCCACCTCTACCTTCATCTGTATGTAATTATAGGGGGTTACCAATTTATGAAGGCTCGTACTTACAAACACTATCCTATATAGGGCGTAGTTTTAAATATCTGACATAAGAACATCTCCTGTCCTTACCAACAGCTGCTTTATATTGTCCTCCATTATGTTTCGTCTTGTGTACAAATTGACTCACAAACCCATCAACAACCCAGGGACTGCCTGTACCCTTATCTAAATTTGATGCAGTTGTTTCCAACCCAAGTTTTTCACTCTCAACTTCAACTTTGTAATTCTAAATTCTCCTTTGTAATGGTCACTGTTTTCAAGGAGACCTTTTACTCTGAGGTAATTTATTAAATCTGCCTTATTACGCATTACCAGATCAAAGATGGCCTGATCCCCAATTCAATCCACAACATGATGATTTAGGAAACCATGCCAAATACACTCTATGAATTCTTCCTCATGTTTATCTTTGCAAATTTGATTTTCCCGATCTACATGAAGATTAAAGTCACTCATGACTAATGTACTGCCTTTTACACATGTCATCATTTGCCTTCTGATTTATTCTCTGTCTGACAGCTACTAACAAGGGCCTATAGAATATTCCCACAAGTGTCTGCTCCCCTTGTTATTTCTTGCCTCCATCCTTATGGATTCTACATCTTCTGATCCAAATCAGTTTTTGCTGAGTTACGTATTCCATCTCACGCTAAAAAGTTAACCCATTACCTTTCCTTCCTGTCTATCCTTCCAAGAAGTCACATACGCCTGAATATTTAGTTCCCAGCTACGGTCTCCTTGTAACCATGCTTCAATAATGGCTTTAAGATCATATCCATTCACTTCTGTTTGTGCCATTCTTTTGTTTGTTTTGCTCCAAACACTGTGTTTTGTCTTTTTACAATTTTCTTCCCATTTGAGCCAGTTTGCAGCTTTTAGGTACACTCTGTCCTTAGCTGTCCCAAACTGCGTACTAAAGCAGTTGCTCTATAGTGCCACCATACCCTCTGCTTTGTAAACTCACATAGCTCTACTGGACCCCACAGATTACTGCACTTTCTTCCAACAGATGCTACCAGACATGCCGAGTTTCTCCAGCAATTTCCGTTTTTCTTTCAGATTTCCAGCATCTGTAGTCCTTTGTTTTATCAGTATTGGTGCCAGTAGCTCATGAACTGAAACTGATTCCTCCCACATCAATCATTGATCACTAGCCTAATAGTCCAGTGACATTATCACTAGAATCGTAGAATTCCTACAGTGTGGAAGCAGACCATTCGGCCCATTGAGTCCACACCAACCCTCTGAAGAGTATCCTACCCAGACCCACCCTTATTCCTGTAACCCTGCATCTTCCATGTCTAACTCACCTAGCCTGCAAATCGCTGGACACTACGGGCAATTTAGCATGGCCAGTCCACCTAAACTGCACATCTTTGGACTGTGGGAGGAAACTGGAGCACCCGGAGGAAACCCAAGCAGTCACAGGGGGAATATGCAAACTCGACATAGACAGTTGCCCGAGGGTGGAATCAAACTCAGGTCCCTGGTGCTGTGAGGCAGCAGTGCTAACCACTAAGCCACTGTACCTCCCCAAATATTGCTTTTGCATGAGGGGTGACATGGCGGCTCAGTGGTTAGCACTGCTGCCTCACTGTACCAGGGACCTGGGTTCGATTCCACCCTTGGGCAACTGTCTATGTGGAGTTTGCACATTCTCCACATGTCTGTGTGGGTTTGCTCCGGTTTCCTCCCACAGTCCAAGGATGCGCAGGCTAGGTGGATTTGTCGTACTAAGTTGCCCATAGTGTTCAGGGATGTATAGATTAGGTGGATGGGTCTGGGTGGAATGCTCGGAGGGTCGGTGTGGAGTTGTTGGGCTAGAAGGGCCTGTTTTCACACTGTAGGGATTCTATGATTCTACATCTGTAAAAGATGGAACAATGCCTTGTTCTGTCTTCTGTTTAGCTTTTGTTTTCTTCAGTCACTCCTAAACCAGTGAGGAGACCTTTTGTTTGTTATAGTCAGGAAAACATCCCATTTCCAGCGCTCTTCATTTTGGCTAAAGACACAGGAAACCCTGGGAAAGGTTCCAATTACGGTGAATGCCAAATTTTCAGATGCCAGCCCATTATATTGCAGGGAGTGGCGCACACCAGGGATGTTGTGTGTTGGATGAAAATGGCACATCACCATTGCCAATTAATGGGATTTGGAAAAACATTTTTTTTTAATCAATGCATGTCAAAATTCAAAATCATTTGATTGAGTACATAAGAAGAAACTGTTTCTGCTGGAAGGAAAATGAACAGCAGTCAGAAGGCCAATGGCAAAAGAACCAGAGACAAGAAGCATATTTCGAATTTACAAAATGAGTTATTGTAATCTGGAATGCGCTGCCTGAACGAGTGGTAAAAGAGTAGCTTTCAAAACAAACAATAGATAAATACTTCACAGGGAAAAAAAATTGCCAGGATTATGGGAAGGAACAAGGGATTGGGACAGTGGCACGGTGGCACAGTGGTTAGCACTGCTGCCTCACAGCGCCAGGGACCCAGGTTTGATTCCAGGCTTGGGTGACTGTCTGTGTGGAGTTTGCACGTTCTGCCCGTGTCTGCGTGGGTTTCCTCCGGTGCTCCAGTTTCCTCCCACAGTCCAAAGATGTGCAAGTTAGGTTGATTGGCCAACTAAATTGCCTGTAGTGTTCAGGGAGGTGTAGATCAGGTGGGTTATAGGGGGACGGGTCTGGGTGGGATGATCTGATGTTCGGTGTGGACTTGTTGGGCCGAAGGGCCTTTTTCCACACTGTAGGGATTCTATTCTATGACTCATCTGACAGCTCTTTCAGAAAGCCAGCATGGGCTCAATGGGCCAAACAGCCTTGGTTGCTTGTGCTGTAAAATTCCCCAAGGCAATATGTGGTGTGGCTATTTACTAACTCACACCCACCCCATTGCCACCACACTCAACACACAAGCCATGATGTAAAGCTTACTGTACTAGCATGCAGAAAGCATGAGCCAAATGCAAAAAAAAATTCATCCTCAAAAAAAAATGCAACCTCTCAACACTAAACTGTATCAGATGTGTAACTGGATCAGTCAGTACAATCCAATTGGCTGTTGCTCCTGAGTGATTTATAATTACAATAATAAGACAAATTAGGACTAGTTTATAGCACATAAGTTTGACATTTCTACAGGCCAAGCTGGTAGTCAGTAAATAATGAGACATTAAATTGATCCATTTAGACGAACAATTAACAGATTAGCATTTGCAAAGGTGAGAGTGGAGGTTATTAATCACCACTTAAAACTGCATTATATTCATGGACCAGACCAGGCCCATTTAACCCTGGCATTACCAAAAGCTCTAGGGAATTCCGTGCTCTCTGACCCAACCAAATTCTCTTTCCATTTTCCCGCTGTGACAATGAGAAACTGCAATAATTTGACTGAGGTTGTCTAAAGCAATTATTGCATTATTAGGATGAAAGTAGTCACTTTAAACATTTCTAAATTACAAAATAGTTATATAGAATGTGCACCAATAACAGACCCTTCAACCTAATGTGTTAATATGGGTGTTTATCCTCCGCCAGAGCCTCCTTCACCCTCTCTTCACCTAAATCCATCTGCATAACATTCCCATAATCAGTGATTTGAAAAGTTACCATGCTTTGTTTTCTCTTCACTGCATTTTCTGTTTTTTTTTTATTTCAGAGTCCCAGCAACCATCTGTTCCTTTCTCCTTCACGTGTTTATCTACTGTCCCCTTGAAATGCCATTACACTTACCACCTCAACTAATCTGTAAGGTTACAAGTTCTACACACAAGTACATCTCCCAGTTCTACAGCCTGTTGTTTTGCCCCATTCCATTTGCATTCCATTTCGCATATGTTTTAACCGTTGTAAATTTAATTTCATCCCAGAGTGCAGCTTTTGGTTATGTCCTAACAGTTAGACACAGGAAAATGTAGCCTCAGTCTGGCCTGGTGAGGACAGGTGGCCTAGAGAAGGAATGCAGTCAATAAAAGGGGACAACAGACAGCTTGTTAACAAGTACTTACCATTCGATGCAACCGGATAAATTCTTGAGCATCGCCTTTAGCCCAAGGAGGAAGGATCACGTCACCGAGAGTAGTCCCATCCTGCATGGACCCTGCAAATACATTGGGCACACAGATGGAATCCTGAGTCTTGTCTTATTAATATGGGCAACTGCGTACGCATTTTTATCTAAATTGACCAGGCTTCTTACCAAATAGTTAAATGTTAGAAACAGCTCTAAACAGATTTGGAGGTCGAGACCTTTTTTTTATTCATTCACAGGAAGAGGGTGTTGAGCCACCATTTATTGCCCAACCAGAGGGCAGCTAAGAGTCCAACACGTTGCTGTGGGTCTGGAGTCACATGTAGGCCAGACCAGGTAAGGATGGCAATTTCCTTCCCTAAAGGACTTTAGTGAACCAGATGGGTTTTCCCGACAATCAACAATGGATTCATGGTCATCATTAGTTCTTAATTCCAGATATTTATTGAATTCAATTCCACCATCTGCTGCGGTGGGATTCAAACCTGGGTCTCCCAGAACATCACTCGGGTCTCTGGATTAACAGCTTGGCGATAATACCACGAGGCTGTTACCTCCCCTATGTACATGTCTATATTCATTAATCATTAAAATGTTATAGGCAGGTGCAGAAAATGATCAAAAATGCTGATGTTAATGTCTAGAGGACTGGAACACTATGGTGTGGAAGATCTGCCACTGCTATACAAAGCCCTGTGTAGACTACATCTATAGGTACTGCAGGCAGGTCTTGATAAGGATACATTGACCTTGAGGGACTGTCGCATACATTTATCAGGATGCGACTTGGACTTTAAGGGTTAAACTCTGAAGAGACATTACACTAACTAGCTTTGTATTCCCTGAAAGTTCGAAGGTGACATGTAAAAACCAAAAGAACTGGGGACGCTGTATACTAGAAACAAAAACAGTTTGCGGAAAAGCTCAGCAGGTCTGGCAGCATCTGTGAAGAGAAATCAGAGTTAATGTTTCGGGTCAGGTGACCCTTCCTCAGGATTGATGGTAGTTAGTGTTTGTTGGAAGGGTACGAAATATTAACAGCGTTGACAGCAATGTTCCCTCTTGGATTCTCCAAGGTTCCACGCATGCTGATCGGTGTGCTAATGTATTGACTTCTGGTTTTAAATGTCGGTGCCACACACAGAATTTGGAAGTCCTTGCACCAAAATAAACAATATAGAGTGAGTACTGTTAATAGGTTAGATAGCATATAGGAATATGGTTGTGGCTATTGGAGGTCAGTCAGTCAGTTCCAGGATATCTCTACAGGAGTTCCTCAGGGTAGTGTCCCAGGCCCAACCATCTTCAGCTGCTTCATCAATGACCTTCCCTCTATCGTAAAGGTCATAAGTGGGGATGTTCATCAATGATTGTACAATGTTCAGCATTATGGGCGAATCCTCAGATACCACAGCGGGCCATGTCCAAATATTGCAAGACCTGGACAACGTTTAGGCTTGGGCTGAAGAGTAGCAAGTAATATTCAAACCACACAAATGCCAGGTAGAGATCGTTTCCAATGAAAGAATCCAACCATCACATTCAATCACTGAATCCCAAACTAACATGCTGGGGTTACCATTGACCAGAAACTGGACTGGACTGGCCACATAAATATTCTGGCTAATAGAGTAAATCATAAATTATAAATCCTGCAGTGAATAATTCATCTGCTGACTCCCCAAAGCTTGTCCTCCACCTACAAGGCACAAGTCAGGCATGCAATGGAATACTCCCAATTTGCCTAATTGGTGCAATTGCAACAACATGCAAGAAACTCAACATCATCCAGGTTAAAGCAGCTTGATCAAATGGTACCTTATTCACCACCTTTAATGCTCAGTCCCCTCAGCACCAACACACAATAGCAGCAGTGTGTGCCATCTACAAGATACACTGGAATACCATGGCAAGGCTCCTCTGAAAGCAACTTCCAAACCCTTGACTTCTACCGTCTGGAAAGACAAGGGCAGCAGACATATGGGAACACCGCCACCCATAAGTCCCCCTCTGAACAACACACCATCCTCACTAGGAAATATATCACTGTTCCTTTGTAGCTGCTGGGTCAAAATCCTGGAACTCTCTCTGAAACAGCATGGCAAGGACTGCAGTGTTTCAAGAAGGCAGCTCACCATCACCTTCGCTGGGGCAACCGGAGATGAACAAGCAATGCTAGCCTAGCCAGTGATGTCAACATCCCATCAATGAATAAAAAAAACTATCTCTTCCAGTTCGGAAATGTAAGTATAGGGGATGTAGCTGATAACGGAGCTAAGCTTTTCAGCGATGAAGCTAGGAAACTCTTCTGCACACTAAGGATGGTAAAAATGGAGCTCAACTGCAAACAGTAAGTGACATTAATTTTATTCCTAATATTAAGTCTGAGATTCATAGAGTTTTGTTATATGAAGGCCTTAAGAATTACAGGTGAATGTAGGGGTTTATGGCACTAGGTCAAAGGTCAAACACAATCTCACTGAATAGTGGATATAAGTTGAGATGCTGAATAGCCTCCTATGCACCTCTATCAATCTACTCAAGATTCTCTTTCATAGCAGGAAACCACAGTTCTTGCCAACATTTGGTCCAACTAAGAGGATGTTAAGCTCACTGGAGACTGTATGAACCAACCATCCTCCTTGTTATAACGGCAGCTTTATCATGGGTCTTGTAAACAGTCACAGATGCACGAGCGCTGCTTCAGATCCACCGAAAGGCAGAAATACTATCTGGATTTGATTCCAAAATTTATTATTTTTAAGGAAAGTAGCTTCTAATAGGATAAGCACATTAAGTTGGTGTTTCTGAAGCAGATCCTTTCAAGATAGGAATTCATTTGTAGGAGGTTGAGGGGTGACTTTACAGAGGTTTATAAAATCATGAGGGGCATGGATAATGTGAATAGTCAAGGTCTTTTTTCCAGGGTAGGGGAGTCCAAAACTAGAGGCATAGGTTTAAGGTGAGAGGGGAAAGATTTAGAAGGGACCTGAGGGGCAATGAGCATCTATGGAACAAGCTACCAGAGGAGGTCGTGGAGGCTTGCACAATTACAACATTTAAAAGACATTTGGATGGGTACATGGATAGGAAAGGTTTAGTGTGATGTGGGCCAAAAGCAGGCAAATGGGACTAGGACAGTTGAGGAAACCTGGTCAGCATGGACTAATTGGGCTGAAGGGTCTGTTTCTGAGCTGTATGCCTCTATAAATTGGTGGTCAAAGTGATCGAACATCCATGAAAAATTAACCATTCAAATCAAATCAGGCTCTGAAATCTCAGCACTCCTATTCCCAGTTAATGTTTTTCGATAAGTGCTAACTCATAACATGGAACCTTTGATATAAAGCAGATTCAGTGTCAACATCAAAACATGGCATGAAATATGCACAACAAATATTGAAAATTACATATTTTGTTTAAAAATTTTCATGGATAACAAAATGCTTTTTGTACCCCAATTGTGAGTGTTAACTTTGTGGATAACTATTGCAAAGCATATTCAGTATGATTGGTTTTAATTCTCAGATTTCTGGCACACTAGGCTTGGCACTGCCCTCCACACACCGTGCCCACTCTGAAAAATCACACGTGCAATGTGGTAAATGTCCCTGGAACTGAGCAAAGCTCCAAACTTGCTCCTTGTGGATTTCATGGAAAAACAGGTTGGCACTCAACAATGCTGGGAGGCAAATGCAGGATATTACACTGTTAATCCCTCTTCACTCTGCAACTGTGCAAACATCTAGCCGACACCACACAAGGGATTCTCAACAAACTGCAGTTATCCAAATGTATCTGGAGTTCAGGTCTTCCGAAAATGCTCTGTGTGCCCTTTGGGATTGTCTAGTTAATCAAGCACACATTAAATACTACATCGGACATGAAAAAAAGCAGGGATTCCCAGACAACATCCGTCCCTCAATGTTGCCAAATGAAGAGACCTAAGGGTGCAGCTGCATAGTTCTTTGAAAGTGCTGTCACCGGTTGACAGGGCGGTGAAGAAAGCGCTTGGCACACTTGCCTCCATTGGTCAAAATATTGACTATAGGAATTGGGATGTCACGTGGAGCTGTACAGAACATTGGTGAGGCCACTTTTAGAGTACTACTACCGTTCTGGTCGCCCTTCAATAGGAAGGATGTTGTGAAACTTGAGAGGGTTCAGAAAAGATTAACAAGGATGTTGCTGGGACTGGAGGGTTTGAGTTAGAGGGAGAGAATGAATAGCCCGGGGCTTTTTTTCCCTGGAGTGTCGGAGGCTTAGGGATGACCATGCAGAAGTTTATAAAATCATGAGGGGCATGGATAGGGTAAATAGCCAAGTTGGGGGAGTCCAAAACTACATGTCATAGGTTTACGGTGAGCGGGGAAAGATTGAAAAGGGACCGAAGGGGCGACATTTTCAAGCAGAGGGTGGTGCGTGTATGGAATGCGCTGCCAGATGATAAGTGGTGGAGACTGGTACAATTACAACATTTAAAAAGCATCTGGATGAATGGGAAGGGTTTAGAGGGATAAGGGCCAAATGCTGGCAAATACGAATGGGTCAGATTGGGATGTCTGGTCGGCGTGGATGGGTTGGACCAAAGGCTCTGTTTCCATGCTGTATGACTCTATGCCAACAGTAACAAAGTAACCAGTCATCCATCTCAAAGGCTGTGTTGACTGCTTCACTTACAATGATTACACTCGAAATAATTTGTTGAATGTCAAGTACTAAGATGCTGTAAAGGGTTGTTGGACTGATTTCTCAATACAGCTGATTAACATACATACATACCAAATTCGAGGGCATTATGGTTAAGCAGAAAATCGGGCAGGTAGAAGAAGTCCGGGATCAGTTCTCTGACATCACTCATGTTGTCTCTGGAGGATGACTCCCACTCTTTCTTGATGCTGAAGAACATCCTGTCTGCCACGTCGAAACATCCCCCCTGCAAACATTCAACATCCATAATGAGACATTAAACCACTCCCCGTTCACCAGACATTCAAAATCCCTTCATTTTTTGCAACCCCTCCCTGACCCTATTCTTATTTGTGTCCATTACCGAAGAAATATGCAATTGTCAATCATCTTCGCAGAATCTTCCACTGAATTGAAAGACTCCATTTTTGCTGACAGTTGCCAACTCTGTTGGAATGTATTGATGTTTCATCACATGCTTCCAACTGCCCTGTTCTTTCATAAAGCCGCTTTTCTCGTGCTTTGTTTTAGTGTATGCAAGGAAAACAATATCAGAGAGGACTTCTTAAAGATGAGTTTTCCTCCACGTTGCTTACAGCAGAGTTCTGGAAGTCAGTCGTGGCACAAAGCACGTCACAAAGCTATCTGCAGCCCAACTGTTCTTTTCCATTTGCACAGCTTCCAGTGCCTTTTCTCAAGGGCCACAGGAAACCAGGGACTGTTTGATCTGCACGTGCGCCAGCTCCCAGTCAAATTCATCTCAGCCTATCGGGTATCACCTTGCCCCTCGTACGCCAGCACAGGTTCATCTTAAGAGACCCCCTACACCGCACAACTCTGTATATGGTCTCAGCCCATCTGCTGATGAACCTTTTGTTACCTCCAGGCTTGAATATTTCAGTGCACTCCTGACAATCTATCCTCCATGAACTTGGGGGCAACTTTTCTGCCCAATCAAGAGTCAGTCACCCACCACCCCTGTCTTTGTTGATCCATAGATGATTGGCTCCTGGTTAAGAGACACTATGAAATTAAAATTCTTGTCCTGGTTTTCAAATCATTGTCTCACCTTATCACTGTAATCTGCTCCAGCTTTTAAAAAGTCTACTCATCTGATTCTGGCTTCTTAAGCTTCCTCAGTGTTCTTTTATTCATTCACAAAATGATGGCATTGGTAGCTAGGCAGCATTTATCACCCATCCCTAGTCTCCCAGAGGGAATTAAGAGTTAACTACATTGTTGTGGGTCTGGAGTCATATGTAAGCCAAACCAGGTAGGGATGACAGTTTCCTTCCCTAAAGGACTTAGTGAACTAGATGGGATTTTCCAACAATTGACAATGGAGTCATGGTCATCATTAGACTCCTAATTCCAGACTTTTTCCTTATTACTGAATCCAAATTCCACCGTCTGCTGTGGTGGGATTTGAACCCAGGTCCCCAGAACATTACCAGGGTCTCTGGATTAACAGTGCAGCAATAACACCACTAGACCATCACCTCCCCTTGAATCACTCCACCACGGGTGACTGTGTCTTCAGCTGCTGAGAGCCTAAGCCCTAAACATTCCCGACTCGTCATTGCTCTACTTTCCTTAAAATCTATCTTTTGGACAAGTTTTTGATCATCCCCCTCAACATCTCCTGATCAGGGGTTGTTTCATTTTATTGAGAACAGTCCTGTGAAGCACTGTCAAATTTTTAATTTATTCATTCACAAGATGTGAGCATGTCTGGCTGACCAGCATTTAATTGTCTGTCCCTGATTGCTCCCACAATGGCATTAGGGAGGCAAGTCCAGGATTTTGGCCCAGCAACAGTGAAGGAACGGCGATATATTTCCACGTCAGGATGGTGAGTGGCTTGGAGCGGAACTTACAGGTGGTGGTGTTCCCATGTATTTGCTCCCTTTGTTCTTCTAGATGGAAGTGGTCATGAATTTGGAAGGTGCTGTCTGAGGATCTTTGGTGCAGTGCATCTTGTTGATAGTATACACTGCTGCTATGGAGCATCGGTGGTGGAGGGAGTAGCTGTTTGTGAATGTAATGCTGATCAAGCAGGCTGTTTTGGCCTGGACGGTGTCAAGGTTTTTCAGTGTTGTTGGGGCTGCACGCATCGAGGCAAGTGGGGAGTATTCCATCACACTCCTGATCGTTACATTAAAGGTGCTACATAAATAGAAGTCATTCAATTTGCTTCAATAACACCTTGTGGCACCATGTTCCACATTTTTATGTTTGTCGGGTAGAGGTATTTCTCTCAACCCCTCTTTAGGGCTTCCTTCAAGTGGATACATTTTTTTTTCTATGAATACCCTACAAAACTCTTCCATTATCTTAAAAGATCCCATTCAGTTATCTCTTCAGCCTTCGGCCTGTTCAGCACTCCTGAATATACACATACTCTTAAGTTCAGATATGATTTTCTGGAGAAATATTTTACCGCTATTCCGCGAAAAAATGAACAGAAATGTGAAACAAGTTACATTCTCACTCATTGTTTCCACTTAGTAAAATACTGGTTCTGTTTTCATTCTTGACTTTTTGCTGCGGGATTGAGGTCCACCTGGATAACCACTCAACCATGTTTATTTTGTATTTCTTGTAACTAAATCGCACTCTCCAAAATGTGTGCATTGTCAAAAAATTTGGACCCTGAGTCCTGTGTAAGGAGTTATCAGGGCAGATGACCAGAAGCTTGTTTAAAGGGGTAACACAATACCTTAGAGAAGGAGAGTGGAGGTAGAGAGATGGGAGGTTTGGTGGTGGGGGGGTTAGTTTCAGTGCTGGTGACGAAGAGTTGAAGGCCCAGTTTCCAATGGTGGAAGAATTAAACTTGAGGATGCACAGGAGGCCAGAATTTGAGCCATGCAGAGATCTCAGAGGATTGTAGATAAGGTTACAGAGTAAAGAAGAGATTTAAAAACTGATGAGGCCACAGAAGGATAGGCATTGAGATACAGTCTTGTTCAGATCTCAAATCTACCTTGACAGTGGAGTCACTACATAGACTCTCAGATGATCAGACCCATTCAAATCTCTCCTGCATTAGTTTAGTTCCTGCAAGTTGAAATAAGTGACCATGGAATCCCTTCAGCATGGAAGCAGGGCAATCAGTCCATGCTGACCCTCTGAAGAGCATCCAACGCAAGATCCACCCCCTTATCCCATAACCTGCATTTCCCATGGCTAATTCGCCCAACCTGTACATCCCTGAAGACTATGGGCTATTTAGCATGGCCAATCCACCTACCCTGCACATCTTTGGACTGTGGGAGGAAACCGGAGCACCATGGACACGGGGTGAATGTGCAAACTCCACACAGACAGGCACCCGAGGATGGGATCAAACCCAGGTATCTGGCGCTGTGAGGCAGCAGTGCTAACCACTGAGCCACCATGCCACTGCAATCCTGTGTGCTATTTGGCACTGTTACCTTGGTGAGTGGGGCCTTCTGTCCTGGTATTGGTTAACAGTGGATTGTCTAATCACAGAAGTTTTTATTGTATGTTGTACTAACAAATGCTCAGGCGGCTATTATTAAACCAACTTTATATACACCTCCCTACCAGAGAACGCAGCATAACAAGATGCTTCAAATTTGCAATATACCGCAGCTTCCATTATTTGATATTCTTCTAATTTTGCTACCAAAAATTATAATTGTACATTGTTACAAGACCATGGAGGACAGCTCTGGCGACTGGATTTTGATAAACCCCACAAAAATCCCCTCGAAAGGAGAGGATTTACCATCCTGCCAGTCCGATTACTCCGTAGCCATGGAGATTTGGAGTCCCAACAAATTGGGCGGCATGGTGCTCAGTGGTTAGCACTGCTGTCCCACAGCACCAGGATCCCAGGTTTGATCCTACCCTCAGGGGATTGTCTGTGTGGAGTTTGCATGTTCTGCCCGTGTGTGCATGGGTTTCTTCCCACAGTCCAAAGCTGTGCAGGAAATGGATTAGCTATGGGAGACACAGGGATAGGGTAGGGAGGTGGATCTGGGTGAAATGCTCTTCAGAGGTTTCGTGTGGACTCGATGGGCCAAATGGCCTGCTTCCATACTGTAGGGATTCCATTCCAGAGGCAGCTCTAAACTTGTGTGGGCTCTTGGAATCCAGTCTGTATCAGAACTCCCAGGAGATATGGGTTTCCAGAAAGTAAGTATGAGAGTTAGAAGCATGGGGTGGGGGGGGTTGGAAATAGGAGCAGGGGTAGCGCAGTTGACCCTTTCAGCCTGCTGTATCATTCAATATGACCATGGCTGATCATCTGTCTCAATGTCATATTCCCACTTTCTCCCCATAACTCTTGATGCCTTTAAAATCTAAAAATATATCAATCCTTTTCTTGACCTGGCCTCCGCAATCTTCTGTGATGGTGAACTCTACAGGCTGACCACCCTCAGAGGAAAAAAAGGTGTCCTCATGTCAATTCAAAATGGCCTACCCCGTGCCCTGAGACTGTGATCCCTGGTTCTTGCCTCAGACCAGGGTGAAACATCCTTACTGCAGGGCAGGAGGGGAGGTGGCAAGGGTCACAGCTTTCAGGGTTCGGATGAAAACTGGGGACAGGTGATGCAAGAGGATTATGGGATGCTGCGCTTGCGAGATACTGCTCATTGGGAAGGCAAGACTGGAACTCACAGATGGTGGCACTGTTAGTCGACGTTTTGCACTCAATAAATACAATAGTGCTGTGCTATTGTACAGTTTAACAGCTATAAACCCACCATCTGTTAAACAAAATAAAGTAATTAGACAACAGTGTCTGCTTTGTGACCGCAACTAGGTCAATGTCACGAGAAGTGATTACCCCATTCCTCCTTCACCATTAATCTTCTCAATGCTACTGTTAAGATGTGAATATCAAATTCCATTCTAATCTATTGCTAATACTCTTCCAGGTCTTTTCTCTGTTTGCCTCTGATGGTAGATTGTAACTTTCCCATTCGCTTTTTATTATATTGGAGCCTCTCTCTAACACCTCCGGGCCATTTTATTAAATTTTACCAGCTACATTCAGCTCCTCCTAAGCCAAGTTTTATTACATTTTATTGTCTCCCTGCAGCTCCTTCAGGCAGTCTTTGCTTTTTCCTATTTCTCTTTAATTCTCCATGCCCACTGTTCAGCAAGACTTCGAAAGCTCACTGTACAATGATTTTACGAGCTTCTTAGACTTACAGCTGTCTCATTGGAAGGAACATATTGCCAACTTCAAATCCCACATTGTACATTGCTCCTCTC